AAATGTTTGATCCGTATTATAATTGAATGCCTAAAAGATTCAAGGAAAATTCCACATATAGATAAAGAGCTTGAACATAAAACTGAAAAGAATGACAAAATTGTTCCATACCCAATGTGTTGCTATTGAATCAACTGCTCTTGGTCGCCATGGCTTTGCAAATCCCACCAATCCCTTTGCAAGTCAAGAGAGTGAAGTAAACGGTGAAAAAGAACATGTATTGGGAGTGGCTCGAAGGCCAACTGTGAGAATCACACATTTCTAAAAGAGCACATGTTTCAGGCCGAGCTTGTTGAACGAATTTTTTTATGAGTTCGTTGATGAACTGAGATATTACTAGGCCTAGTGCAAAGAACATTACTTGAAGCTCTCTGCGGAAAATGAAATGAGAAACGTAGCCACCGAGGGAAATGAAAACGGGAACCAAAGCAATAATGGACAACTCCTCGCAACAACTCTCGCCAAATCGAAGAAGAAGATTTTATTTCAACCAGGAGCAAGCGGAGAGGAGGGTATTTCAGAGAACGGGGACGGGAATAAACAAATACCTAAGGGAGATGGGGGATTAACATTCCCAGTAAATCAGGAAAAAGATACCACTGGTATTCAGTTTTTACCCTCATTTGAGAATGTGGCCATCCAAACATGGGTATCTTTAATCCGAAAAAAAAAAGATTACTCCTAAGAATGAAATATTCCATGAACCAAATGGGGTCTGATCAAAGAATAATGAAGCTGTATGCAAAATGGTGAACAGTGATAATAAAGAGAATCACGTTATTTTCCTTAAAAAGTAGTAATATTTTGAGATATTTGTTATTTTTATGGATAAACTATCCTATTAGTCATTTACTTTAGTCAAACAACCTTTGTTTTGAAAAATTATCACTGACACTATATTCGTTTTCTATTTCGATTATTGATTATTAAAAAATGAGGATTAAAATTATTATAAATGTAAAATTTGAAGGTTAAATTTATTAGTATATTAATTTTAGATGAAGTACATAAATGATTCCTTGTTTATAGGATGATGTTCTGATGAGTTATTTAACTATTAAAAGTTACAACATAGCCATCTGATTATTCATTTGTTCTAAACTTGTCTTTTTTCAATTAAAAATTGACGACCGTCTACGCTGAATATGAACATGTTGATTAAGATATGATAAAATCATATTTTAATAATATCACCTAGGATCGTCGTTACTTTCAATCACTGAATTGACAACATTAAAGTTTCAAGCACTAACTCGATAACATAATGTATAAAGATTTGATCCACAAAATACAACTAAGACAATTTTGGGATTATCTTTTCTCATATCACAGTCAACATGTTAACATCCAGCTCAGACGACTACCGTTCTTTAATTGAAAAGGACTAGTTTAAAACGTATGTGTAGTCGGGTGACTATTTTATAACTTTTAATAGTTGAGGGACTCAAGCCCTATAATCGAAAGATCATTTTGTAACTTTTAATAGTTGATGGACTCAACAAAACAACATCATATAATCGGATGATCATTTGTATACTTTACCTTTAATTTTATTAGTTATCACATCAATAAAATGGGTCAATTTATAATTATTTATAGTCAAATGACCTGATAGAAAAGTACCTTCTATTTGAGGGATTATTTACATATTCTACCCTTAATTAATCAATAATGTCAATCAACTACGATATGCAGTAGCATATACCAGAACTCAAAGAATGTTTTTAATGATAGAAGGTGACATGGTTTTCTTAGATAATCTGAGCTCAAATAATTTAATTCTGTCTAGAAAAATATTATATATACAATATTTATACGAGTCGAAATTACTTTTCTTTTCCTGAAAACACTTTATTGATAAATTTTTTGAAACGACATGCGATCAACCGGAACCATACAATCTAATTATTTGCTGTTAGTATTGGTTGTTTGAAGAAGATGGAGACTCATTTGTAAATGTGGAGGAATTGTAGGGTTGTTTTTATAAATATGGAAAATTATAGTTCCAAAATAAAAATGACACGTTTGGATCGGGATTTTGAACCCGACGCGAACCGAACACGCAACCTTCTGATCTAGAGTCAGACGCGCTACCATTGCACCACGGATCCCGTGGTGAAAACTAAAGTTACTTGTCTTCATAATTAAATACTTTCTTCGATCTCTATCATTTTAGTTGTCGCTGCAGAATTTGTAACCGGATCCACCGCCATCACCCACAAGAATACTCTCTGGCTCTCACTGACTCACTCACCAGCTTTTCCATTGCCGGTTCTCAGAAACAAGAAGAAAATAAATTAAAAGCTGTCTTCTTCACAAGAGAATCAAAAGGAAAACCTTAAATCTCTTTCCAAAGTTTTGCCATTGTCGGGTTTTGGGATGGGCATGAGTTGGGTTCGAATTTTATCACAAAAATCGAGTCGGGTTCAGGACGGATGGAGTGTATATATATTTTGGATCGAGTAGGATCGGATGAAGAATGTAAAATTTTTGAGTTGGGTCGGGCTGGTCGAAATCCGACCCATGCACATCCCTATTCTCTCATCTCCTCCCCTCCCCCATTTTCTTTTTTTTCTCCTTCTTTTTTTAGAGTTTGTATTATTTTCTATATATCGATCAACTTTTTCTTCTTTAATTTTGTTTAACCAAAAGAGGTACCGATTTTTATGCTGGTTGCTGATAGTTGGTTATCTTCTTTCTTTATTTTTTTTAGTTTTTTATAAGAATAATTATGCATTTGTGACACGTTTATCTATGTTTTTATGATACGTTTATTTATGCATTTATGACACGTTTTTCGGTCGTTTGACCGTTATTTTTTATTTTATGTTTTTTTAGGGTTAGATATGACAACATCACGACTGATAAGATGACACTTATTTGTAATCTAGTTGATCTTCCATGCTATGAACCCTCGGAATAAATTTGGATACTCGATTTTGCTATTGTGGATAGTTTCTCACGACGCTCAATTCTGATTTGCGGTTCGATGGACTTTCAATAGCTGAATCCCCTCTTGTAGTTCGTTTGCTGATGCAGTTATATTTGCGTGTATCTATTTTTTGTTTGAATATTTTGATTGAGATTTTAACATTTTTTATGTATGTCCTTATATAATCTAAAGTGACTATTTTTAATGTTATAGGAAAATGTCCAAATTATATATTTAATTTATGATAATAGTTTTAAACTCTTATTATAATCTTGGATATTCATTTTTTAATAGCACTATCGGTTTCTATTCTAAAAACAAATTGTGATGTCTTTATCACGAGCTATCATTGTTATTGTTCATCTTGTCTATCTTAGTAGTTGAAGTGTTCAACTTAGGTGGTGTTTGTTTTCACTGTGCAAACTCTTCAAACCACTTATGTCTGCGTCGCGCAGACCACGCGCAGACATTAGGCTTCGCAGACTGTTTATTTTTTAGAAGACAGAAGCTCTTCAAACGTCTGCGCAAGGTCTTCTTGGTGCAGACTTGGTTTTATGTCTTCAAAGGTCTTCAAACATCTTCAAGAACAATTATAAAATATAGTTATTTATTAAAATAATTTTAAATAATTTAATAAGGTTATTTATTTTAAAATAATTTATTATAAAATATGAATTGATTTATTTTAAAATAATTTATTAGTATGGATTAATTTATTTTAAAATATGGATTGATTTATTTTAAATAATTTATTAGTATGAATTGATTTATTTTAAAATATGGATTGATTTATTTTAAATAATTTATTAGTATGAATTAATTTATTTTAAAATATGGATTGATTTATTATTGTAGTTGTATGGATTGATTTATTTTAAATAATTTATTAGTATGGATTGATTTATTTTAAAATATAGATTGATTTATTTTAAATAATTTATTAGTATTGATTGATTTATTTTAAAATATGGATTGATTTATTTTAAATAATTTATTAGTATAGATTGATTTATTTTAAATAATTTATTTGTATGGATTGATTTATTTTAAAATATGGATTGATTTATTTTAAATAATTTATTAGTATGGATTGATTTATTTTAAATAATTTATTAGTATTGATTGATTTATTTTAAATAATTTATTTGTATGGATTGATTTATTTTAAAATATGAATTGATTTATTATTATTGTAGTTGTATGGATTGATTTATTTTAAATAATTTATTAGTATTGATTGATTTATTTTAAAATATGGATTGATTTATTTTAAATAATTTATTATTGTAGTTGTATGGATTATTTAAATTTCAGTATTATAAAACTAAAATTATTTAAATATCAGTATTGCAAAACTCTTTTAAGTTTAAAAAATCAGTTTATTTATATTTCAGTTCATTTTAGCAGTTTGCAGACGTTAAAAAACAAACAGTCTTCTTCTTGCAGACTGCAGACTTTTGGTCCACCTCTTCTGCTGCAGATGCCTGCAGATGTGGTCCGCAGACTGCAGACCTTTTACCTCTGCAAAAACAAACACCACCTTAAAGTTAGACAAATTAAAAATCATTTTGATTCTATTTATCACTAAATAATTACTCTTTTCTTAGAAAATGTCTAATATGAATCTTTTAAGTTTTATATTTTTTAATATTAAATTAATATATATCGTCCCTAAAAAAATGTGACAATAAACTTAATGCATGCTTCTTATTCTAATATTTTACTTACCCTTGTCAAAGAGTATTTAAACGTATGGATGAAGAACTAAATTTGGATCTGAATCCAACTAATGGGTCATGAAGTGAGCATATTCAACAAAAGACCAAAGTCCAATCCAACTAAGTGACAGTTAAAGCTTAGAAAGGATCACCGGTCACCAACTACCTCTTTCATCTCCACCAAAATTACCCAACGACTCAACATCAACCATGTCTTCTTCCACCACCACAACCACCGCCACCGTCGAACCATCAACTCCACCAGCTCCACCGCCACAACGATTCAGGATTTGATAAAGCAGGAAACAATCTCATCTTTTTTTCCTATTAAGCAGGAAACTGTTAAGCAGACTCGTATAGTTCCCTTTCTGATGCAAACATGACTGCTATCTTCTTTACCAGGAGGAATGCGCCATGGTAGAAGCAGCAAAGCTTCAGATTGAGCCATCCCACAAATACGATCGAGTCATTAAGCTGTTAAACTCCGTGGAATACCATTACAATGTCATGGTGTGGACATGGGAAAAGTGGTTCACATTTTCTTCTCCGGTTACTTTGCTCGTGAGCTTATTTAGAATTCGGTAATAACAATTATAACCCATGTATTTGTCTGGCCATTGAAAATAAAGGAGTTTTCAAGTACACTCCTGGCCTATGCGCGTGTCTGTTGCCTCTTGTAACCGGTGATTTCATTGTAACCCTTTGTTCTTTCCCAAATGTTGATTTGCATATGTTGAAATTTTAAAATTGTGAATTGATGGAAGTTGGAATTTCTTGTGACATGCCTGTTTTAAATTACTATAATATACAATTAGACTAATAATTGAGATATAGAAAACTCAAGAAAACTAGTCATCTTATATGTTTTTGCAAGATTAATTGATCAATAAATTAGATATCGATAGTATTTTAAAAAGATAAAAAAAAAATTAAAACTGAATAAATCTGATTAAAAATCTTATATGCTTTTGCAAGATTAATCGATCAATAAATTGGATATCAATAGTATTTTAAAAAAAATAAAAAAGTTAAAACTGAATAAATCTGATTAAAAATCCATACATCAGATATCGATGATGTTTTAAAAAAATTATAAATTAAAAAAAGTGATTAAAAGGAATTAGGGAGTCAAAATTGGCCCAGTAAGGTATATGAGTTTTTTATTTAGCCAATTAGAGCAAGTTAAAATTTATTTTTAGATCTATGGTCTTTTCTACAGTGACATAGAACCCGTCACGCCGAGGTGACGAGTTTCAATAAAAAATAATTTTTTTTATTCTAAATTTTTACCTCGATGTGATAAATTTTCAAAAATATATTTTTTTAAACTCGTCACCTCGGCGTGACGAGTTCCAATAACACTGTAGAAAATTTCGTAGATCCCAAAATAAATTTTTGACTTGCCCTAATGGGCTAAATAAAAAACCCGGGAGCAGTAATGGGCCAATTAGGAAAGTCGGTCGAGAGCCCAATTTGCTGGGCAAGGGATCCATATAAATAGGCCAACCCGAAAACAATAACAGTCCACATAAGTCGTGGCAAATCTAAAGCCCTATTATTGTTCAATTAATTTCGTTCTCTCTGGTGGTTTCTTTTTCTTCTCCATTCCTTCCATAAACCGCCGCCGTCCGATTGTCGCCACCTTAATTACTGTTTTTCTTCTGTAACAATGGCCACCGTTATGCAAAAGATCAAAGACATCGAAGATGAGGTTAGCTTTCTTCCTCTTTTGTCTGTTATTTTTATTATTTAAATTTTAGTTCATAGAATAGTCTCTGATTATCTTCGGTTGCTCATAATTATCTATAATTTGAATGAAATCTATTTCTTATACGTTTTTTTTTCTGCATTATTTTAATTTAGCTTAGTACTTACTGAGTTTCTGAATATCTTTCGAAGTAATTTAAATTCGAATTCGTATCATGTAGTTTCCTGTGAGTTGCGACTGAGAAATGAAGAAAGCTTCCAGTTTTTGTTATTTTTTATTTGAATTTTTATGCTTTAAAACATGATAGCCAAATGAAGATGATGAAGATAGCCAAATGTGTCCTTGAAACATGATAGATTGCTAAAGTTTGTTGCATTTCTGGTGTATTTAAGTTTTTTCCTTTGTTTGTTTGTTTGTTTGTTTGTTTGTTTTTAACAGATGGCAAGGACTCAAAAGAACAAAGCAACAGCTCATCATCTGGGCTTGCTCAAGGTGAAAATGTGTTTTTATTTTTTGGGGTTTTGTTTTGGCCCAATTGTGGAATTATATGTCGTTGAAGTGAAAGAGCTGTGATTTGCATTTTCTTTCTATTGGTGTTTATTTCATCATCGCAAATTATTTTTGTATTATCTGTCGTTTGGCATTAGGCTAAACTTGCAAAGCTACGAAGAGAGCTCCTTACGCCTACATCAAAAGGAGGAGGTGGTGCAGGTGAAGGTTTTGATGTTACCAAAAGTGGAGATGCAAGAGTTGGTCTAGTAGGTTTCCCTTCGGTGGGGAAATCTACTCTTCTTAACAAGCTGACGGGGACATTTTCAGAGGTATGGATGACTGTTTTTTATGTCATTAGAGCACATGAAACATATGCCTGTGTCTTCTGTTATCAGAAATGCTACAGTTTGATTTTGTATTGGAAAACCGTGAAGTATATTATGTTGCTCCAAATCTTCATGTACCTTAAGGTACCAATGCCCATCACATGTTAGGTGGATATAGTTATGGAGGTCCAGCCCTTGAATTATATGGAAAATCTTAGGAATAACTAAACATAGTCATATCAAGCACATATCAGTATCCAACACGCGTGATGCCCTCCTCCCCCACAAAAAAAAAAGTCTGAATAGCATATCATTCCTTAGTTGACATTGCCTGTAAATTCATGTTTCTGTGGTATTTCTTCACGCTGTCATCTCTCTAATTGATTGAAAATAATGTTTATCATAATTCTTTTGCTAAATATTTTTGGGGGGTTGGGAGTCGGGATGGGAGGGCCAAGTATAACATGTTCTCTCCGGAGGCTTCTGCTGAATATAGTGCAATAACTTCTGAAGACTGATGAACTTGTATTTATTCTGGATTACAGGTCGCTTCCTATGAATTTACTACATTAACTTGTATTCCGGGTGTGATCGTGTATAGGGGGGCTAAAATCCAGGTACTGCTTTATTTCAACAAAGCTTAATGTACTTTTGGTTTTAGTAATGGTTTATTAAATTTTTAGTAATAGTATTTGAATAATTGATGTTTCCCTTTTGCCTTGTATACTATTTTACCTTTTTGGAGTGATGTATGACATAAGATAAAACATGATGTTGTAGCTTAGATGATTAACTGCTCAGCCAAAATTTAGACTGTGTTAGTAGCTTAGATGGTTTAGGCTGAGCTAGTTCTGTTGTATAGGGTTGTCTTTGGTCGTTTTTTGGTTTTCTGGTTATGTTGGGGGTGTTTATCTGGTTGCATCTTATGTAATTTCTTTTGGTTAATGAAATCTTAAGGCACTCTTTTCCTCCTTCCGCTGATTAAGGAGCTTCTCTACAAGCTCCTTTAATCAAGAAGGGGGTTTTTAACGAGGCCTTCAATTCCTATAAAAAAAATAAAACATGATGTTGTTTATTCCATAATTTGTATTGTTTCTTTAATTCTGTTTATGGATGATATTGTGAATACATTTATGTTTCAAGTCAATACTTTTAAAACAGTGTTTCGTGAAATGCTTTTGGTTTCAAGTATTTGCTATCATTTGATAACTTAATTATCATGAAAACTATTGTAATTGTGTTGAATTTATTTGAAATCATAATGCACACTACATTTTCTGAGGAATAGATCAAATCCTACATGGATTATGTTCAAGAACTGTGATAAATTTTATGACATTTTCCCTCTTACTCATCATGACACTTGATTACTTGTTGAGATGACCTTTTTTCTTGAATACAACAAACTAAGAATAATTCCTTATCATGATTTGCAGTTGTTGGATCTTCCGGGTATTATTGAGGGTGCTAAAGATGGAAAGGGTAGAGGAAGACAGGTGAACACAATTACTTATGTGTTTCTTTTGCCTTTTCTTTCTTATACGTTCAAAGTTCTTGTTCTTTACTAATATTTTTGTACCAGAATACTTGAGCATAATTATATCTACTCTATACTTTGCTAATTGCTCAATTTTTTTTTTTGTTTATATGCAATCTGCTATTTATGCTATCATTGTTTGTATGCATTGCTTTTAATGAAATTTTGATTTACAACTTAGAATGGTAATTCTGCATTTCTTTAGTTTCATGGTAATTTGCTTGTTTATCACAATATATATATATATATTGGTTTTACAACTTAAAATGAGTATTGTTTTCATATTTATCCCATGCCAATATCATTAAAGTTATGCACTTGAGCAGAGTGGATATCTTCAATCTGATTTCTTTTCCGACATGATTTTATGAATGTCATAGAAATAGTATAATTCTAGGTCAAATATTATATGAAAATTGTTTTTGCCCATAGAATAATTGCTTTTCAGTTTAGTTGCTGCTGATTTTTTATCTTCCTTTCCATGCTCATACCTTGTTGCAAGTGTTTCAAAAAAAATGCCACTTGGTCCAGGTCATCAGCACTGCTAGGACATGTAATTGTATATTAATCGTTCTTGATGCAATAAAACCAATAACTCACAAGCGTCTTATTGAGAAAGAGCTTGAAGGATTTGGAATAAGGTAACATTGGTTACTTTCTTTTGCCTCCTGATAGTTTCTCCCCCGATGTTATTTTGGCCTCTTTTGCGTTTGCATTTCTGCATGCATTGCTAAGCCATTCATAAACATTATTATATTGCTTATCACCAAAGCAGTATCAGTGTGGACCTAAGGGTATTCTTTTTCGCTCTTTTTATTATATTTTTTTCTTTCGAAGCAATTTCAGTTAATCGTTACTTACTGCCTATTCACATCCTTGATTTTTGTTTTCCCTACAACTAATGTTTGTTTCATATCAGTATTTAAACTGATCACCTTAATATGGCATGAATTTTGTAGCTGTTACTTGAATGAACGCTATTGTTTAGTTCTTTAATTTGGAGAACACGTAGTGTTAGAAATTACTATATACATGCTCACAGAACCTTTATCTTTGGATGGTTCTGCAATGCTGTTAACTTTTTCTTGAAGCATTTCCATTTCTTTAATGCTTATGTCAAAGTAGGGCCAGGTCGGATTTGTGAGTCATTTGAACTTAGAGTCAATATTTACTTCTTGCTATTTGAGTTAGTGCTCTCATTTGTTGTTTTGATTGACTAATAGAGTTGTAGAATATTATTGAGATTCAGGTTTTTCTTTGTAAATATTGATTTGTTTAGACTTAATTGATATATCATATATCTTGGTGCATCCATATTTCATATTTCTACCATCCTTCTGCTGCATTCTTGTTTTGGTTTGATACATTGACTCCATGCTGATGTTCTGGAAACCATAGATTTTGTAATTTTTGAGTGGATGTATGATATGACAAAAAAAGGAAACATACTAGAGTCTCCAGTTAACTGAAGAGAATTTTAATCCCTTTGTAGCCATACTTGTTTTTGAAACTTTGTACTGTTTCATAGTTTTCATGTCTTTCTTTTCTTAGCATCTCAGTTTGTTCTGCCGCCTAATAGTTATTTTCTATGTGGAGACAGATTGAACAAGGAACCACCTAATTTGACATTCAGAAAGAAAGACAAGGGTGGTATTAATTTCACCTCAACTGTTGCGAATACTCATCTGGACCTTGACACCGTAAAGGCAATTTGTAGTGAATATAGAATTCACAATGCTGATATCACTCTGAGGTATGATGCGACTGCTGATGATCTAATCGATGTCATTGAGGGCAGTAGGATATACATGCCTTGCATTTATGTGATAAACAAGATTGATCAGATCACACTTGAAGAGCTGGAGATATTGGATAATCTTCCTCATTATTGCCCAATCAGGTATTTTTCACCCCTAATCTTGTGGGAAATTTTCTGTCCTGCAAACACATTTTTCGTTCAAAGTTGCCGTTAGAAAATTTACTTCATTGAAGTATGTTTATTCTAATATGCATTCTTAATATTTGATGTGATTTTGACTTCAAATAATACTCGTTCTTTGAGACCATCTAAAGTGTTTTATAGCAAACACTCATGAGACCTACAAAGTACAAACAACGTTTAGAATAAGCAAAAACCTTCAAATTCTCTCAGATAGAAAACTTAAAAAAAAATGACTGTGCAATCCTTTTGGTATCTTTTCAGATGACTTAAAGATGAGGATAGTTGTGCTGTAACTGTTTATTGCCTTGGAGTAGGGTGGCATCTAACTCTGATTATAGGGCCATAGGTTTTTTGGTCTGAGCCAATACTAATAGCTTAGAAATATTGTAACTGCCGGCTCGTGCTGGGCTTTCTGATTGTGCTCCTTAATGTCATTTTTACTCCTATACAATTTCCTTGGTATGATTGAACGAGTTACTGAAACTGTCTTTTTGTGTAATGCTTGATAATTTTTTTATATAATTTATTTTTCCGACTACTTTTAAGTGCTCACCTGGAGTGGAACCTAGACGGTCTCCTGGAGAAGATATGGGAGTATCTCAATTTAAGTCGCATTTATACGAAGCCAAAAGGGATGAATCCAGACTATGAAGATCCTGTTATCCTGTCATCAAAGAGAAGGACAGTTGAGGACTTCTGCACTCGAATTCATAAAGACATGCTTAAACAATTTAAGTAGTAAGTATCCTCTCCAAATCATTAACGCAGTGTTGCATCAAGTGATAGCCAATTTCTTTACTTGCATTCTTTGCAGTCGCGAGGGTTTTAGAAGACTTCCCTAAGATTTTGTTTGACGGTGGGTGTAATATCTTATGTATACATTCAGATGTTCGCGTATACTCCTTTCTGAGGGCCCTGCTTATTTCTGAGATGAGCAAATTCCAACCTATTTCTGCCATTAGAAAGGAAAATCTTGCAATAATGCTTGGAATTTAGGGTGCGGATAATAAAGTTCTAAGTGGAAGTGTGGTCTCTGTGTTTCCTCATTTCGGACTGTTAGCTTCTAAGTGGGGTGTTTTTTTTCCTCCTTTGCCGTCTTTGGTAAATATAATATCGTATAATTACACAAGAATACTTTTATAAGAAAATGGTATATCCAGGCATGTATGCCTGAGAATGATCTGTTTAGATTGATTTTTTAGAAAAATGCATCTTTTACTTTTTTACCATATTTAGATCTAAATTTCAAATTTCCAGTTATTAAAGTTCTTAATCTAGCTGAATATCACAGTGCACTCGTATGGGGTTCAAGCGTAAAACACAAGCCTCAAAGAGTTGGCAAGGTATGTTCCAAGTATCGTGCATCGTGTTCATGTTATCTTTCCCTTTCATAATCGAGTTCAAGGCTTCATACAACCTTTTGTTGCATTCATATATTGTTTGTCTTTTCATATCGGGTTTTAATTATTTCCCGTATCCGTATCCTTGTCCATATCTACCATTTGTCTAATTTACCTGTTTTCTTCTTTTTTGTTGTTTGATCCCTGCTGATTTTGATTCGATATTATCCCAGGATCATGAACTCGAGGATGAAGACGTTGTTCAGATTATCAAGAAAGTGTAACCTGATAATATTGGAATACATGATCGAACTCCTCACCGTGTTCATGTTTTATGAATCGCACAGCCATCATCATGCACAAAATTGTCAGCTGCCATCTAGGTTTGTCCCGCTGGAAATTAGGTAAAACGAGAGGGCTGAATGTGTTATTAGAGCCATTTTGATCTGATTATGCCTTTGCTTGTTTTTCTTTGTTATGATAACACTTTCGACCTAAGTACACTATTTAAAGGACACAGCTAGTGGGAATTTCTCAGAGAATTGGTATTTTATTAAATTTCTCACCAACTGTTCGGTTTGATTCGATTTCAATGCCAAATTCAAGAACTTTTGGTTTTCTCTTTACAGTTTAAGTCCGGCTCGAATACATAAATTTAAAATTGAAATATCCTACTGCCATTGAACAAATTATTTTCATACATCCTAAAAGAAATACGAAGTACATCTACTCCATTAACGAAAAGACTAAAATTAAGATTGGAGTGATTACATAAACTAAAATCTTGACATTAATATAAACGAATTAATAATTATACAAGCACTAAAACTGCAAAAGTCCCAGAAACGGAGGGGCCATGAAATAAAAGATGGTCCTTTGGGAAGGGTGAAACGAATATAAAAGAATTGGCATGCCAATTATACAAGCACAACGGGAATCATATAGCAAACACTGCAAACAGTATTACATCAGACATTAATATCGGCACGCTTTGATCTGGCACTGCTGTTGACTTCTTGGGATCCGGAAAAGGAAAACCGTGGGGCGTTGTAATTCTCGGTCGCTGGAACTGGCTGTTGAGGGTAAAGTGTGGGAGGTGGAGTCAGATTGCACTGCGCCGGTAAGGGAGGAAGCATGTTGTACTTGTAAGGGTCGCCGCTCAAACTGCAATCGACCGGAGCAAACAACAGGTTTTCATTAAGAAACAACGGGAAAGATAGAGAGAAGAATGCCCACGTTCCTTGTGTATAATTTTTGCAAAGGTTAACTCAGCCGGACTTACCTTGTTCGCTTGTATAACTGATAATCATCACCGGCACTTTCATCTAAACGTTGAGAAGTTCTCGGAGCAGGAGATACAGACCACGTATTTGTGGTCGATAATTCGTCTGAAAAATACCGTCTCTTGATTAACTGAAACAAAGTACAGTGTAAGCTTGACAACAGCTAACCCACAAGAAAAATAAGAGCTAGAATCACATAAACTAAGCAAAAAGGGCCAACAATACCATTCGGAAAAATCTCATTAAGCCTTCCTTGTCATATCTTGCCTCTTTGGCTGCCTGTAGAAATCAAGCAGGGTGTTAAACGTCTACTTTTACCAAAAGCCAAAACTAACATTGCTAATCGGGTTTGCTAGGCTTGTCAAAAGTACCGGAACTTTACCAACCCCGGTGTTTGCTAATATTTTAAACAGCGCAACATGATTGATTCAACAGTTAACAAGCAAAGATGCCATTTTAAGATCTTTCTTCTTGCAGTAAAACAACTTCTTGAAGTAAAATATATTCCATAAAAAGAGAGTTTACCGTGAAAAGGAAATGAATTCAATATTTTTGTAGGAATATACGTGTCAGGAAATAGATTAAATTAGGAACACTTTTAATAGGATTCTGTGAAAATTTCTTGTAGTTACAATCCCTTAAGGGATTATTCTTTCTCTAGAATTAGTTTCTTTTCTAACTTAAAGTTTCCTAAAATAAAGTTACAATTTTTATATAAATATGTAACAAATCCTATTGATTAAGTATGGAATAACAGTGATTTACTCTGATTTCTCACATGGTATCAGAGGATGTTTAGTCAATTAGCAGGGCTGAACCAGAAGGTAAAAAATTTCCTACAGCCCTTCTTTCTCAACAGTTGACCCCTACTTGGGTCCTTGACTCCGGGGCTTCAGATCACATGACTGGCAACAGGAAATTGTTTAAAACTTTTTCAGCTACATCTGGAAGGGCTATTAAAACTGCAGATGGTTCTCTTTCCCATATTCATGGACATGGTTCTATCTCTCTCAATAAGAATCTGGTTCTTGATAATGTCCTTTTTTTGTACCTAATCTTGCTTGCAACCTCATATCTGTCAGTAAACTTTCAAAGGATTTAAATTGTGCTATCAATTTTAATGAATCAAGTTGTACTTTGCAGGCACTGGACATGAAGATGATTGGCAATGCTAGCTTGCATAATGGCCTCTATATCCTAAATGGTCCTCCTTCAGCTTTCGAACAGACACCTCCTACTTCGTTCGCAACCTTAAAAAAATTGATACTGTTATGGCATTTTGTTAGACCATCCTAGTTTTCAATATCTAGCAAAGTTATATCCGTCTCTTTTTATTAATAAAAAATCACATTTGTTTAAATGTCATATTCGTTCACTTGCTAAACATACCAAAGCATCCTATTCACCATCTAAATACAAGCCTTCACGTCCTTTTTCTTTGATCCATAGTGATATTTAGGGCCCTTCTAGAGTGAAAAATGCTATTGGTTGTAACTGGTTCATTACATTTATCGATGACCATAGTAGGCTAACTTGGACTTATTTAATGAGAGACAAATCTGAATCCTTTGACATATTTGAGAGATTTTATACCATGGTTGACACCCAATTTCATTCCAAAATTCAACCTTTTCATTCTGATAATGGTAGCGAACTCTTTGCTACATCATTGAGTGATTTTTTCAAAACCAAAGGAATAGTTCAAATCAGTTCCTGTGTTGACACTCCACAACAAAATGGCATTGCCGAGAGGAAAAATAGACAGCTTCTTGATGTTACCCGTTCTCTTCTCTTCACCAGCAACGTTCCAACCTACTTATGGGGAGAGGCCTTGTTAACTGCCACATATTTGATAAACTGTATGCCTGTAAGGTTTTGAATTTCCATACTCCTCAATCCATTTTCTTGGAGAGTTACCCCAATTCAAGCCTATTTCTTCTATTTTACCTCTTAAAGTCTTTGGTTGCACTGTTTTTATCCATAATTATGCTCCTAATAGGTCCAAGTTCGATCCTAGATCCCTAAAATGCATTTTGGTAGGGTACTCTTAAAGAAGGGTTATAAATGCTTCATCCACCTTTTAAATGATTTTATGTCACTATGGATCTCACATTTTTTTAGCAGGACCTCTATTTTCCTAAAGCTGAAATTCAAGGGAAGCCATGGAATGATTTTCAGCCTTATCATCAACATCCGGTAACCTCTCCTAATTTTTCAATACCTTCAAATTTGTCACCTTCAAATCCACATTCGTTACCTACACCTACTACCTTTCCTTCCATACCTTCAGATTCTTCTACACCCACTCCTAATAATCATCCTGATACTTCCAAAACTACACCTCCTAAACTGCTTCTGGTTTACAAAAGAAAAAAGGAAACTGCAATCTAACACTAGCCGAAAGTTGGATTTAAGTCCAGCTGCCAATGTGGAAGAAGGAAATGAGTACAGTAAGTCCACTTCTCCTAATCTTGATGTTTTTTCTTATTGCCATTAGAAAGGGATTAAGGCAATGCACTAAACACCATATTCAAAGATTTACAGGTTACAACTCTTTATTGCCTTCTTTCCAAGCCTTTACAGCTAGCTTGAATGAAGAACAAATCCCCTCAAATATTGATGACGCATTAAAGGATCCTAAATGGAGAAGGGTTGTTGAAGAGGAAATCGGTGCACTCGAGAAGAATGTTACATGGACTATAACAGATCTTCCACAAGGTAAAAAACATGTTGGTTGTAAATGGATCTTTGCTGTGAAATATAATTCTAATGGCAGTGTACAGAGATACAAAGCAAGACTAGTTGCTAAAGGATATACGCAAACCTATGGGGTAGATTTTACAGAGACTTTTGCTCCAGTGGCTAAACTCAATATTGTTCGGGTACTACTAAGTCTTGTGTTCAACCATGACTTGAAACTTCATTAACTTGATGTTAAAAATGCCTTTCTCAATGGCAAACTCGAGGAAGAGGTCTATATGAAGGTACCACCTGGTTTGTAGTCTATTAAGGGAAATTAGAAGTGTGCAAGCTTAATAGGTCACTATATGGGCTAAAACAGTCCCCCAGGGCTTGGTTTGAAAGGTTCACCAAAGTGATCCTAAGAAATGGCTACAAACAGTCCCTTGCCGATCATACACTCTCCATCAAGAAAAATTACAGGAACAAAAGAGCCATCCTAATTGTGTATGTGGATGATATAATCCTAAATGGAGATGATGAGGAGGAAATTATCAGTTTAAAGACACTCCTAAACAAGGAATTTGAAACTGAGGACTTAGGAAAGTTGAGATACTTCCTAGGTATGGATTGCAAGATCTAAAGAGGGGCTCATGATCAACCAAAGAAAGTATGTTATCGACTTACTAAATGAAATAGGTTTTTTAGGGTGTAAGCCAACAGATACACCAATGGAAGCCAGTCTGAAATTGAACAAGGAGGCAGAAAGCTCCTTAACACATAAAGATAGATTTCAAAGGTTAGTGGGAAAGTTAATCTACTTGTCTTTAACCAGGCCGGATATAGCCTTTTCAGTAAATATAATTAGTCAACACATGGTGAATCCTAATGAAGAGCACATGGCAGCAGCTAACAGGATCCTGAAGTACTTGAAGAAAACTCCTGGACATGGTTTAATGTTTGACAGATTTGTAAAAGTCTTTACAGATTCTAGCTGGGCAATGGACTTAACAGAAAGGAGATCTACTTCGGGCTATTGCACATTTGTGTGGGGAAACCTTATTACTTGGAGAAGTAAGAAACAATCTGTTGTTTCGAGAAGTAGTGCTGACGCAGAATTTAGAGCCTTGGCATTGGGAATGTGTGAAGGAATCTGGATACTTAAGCAGCTAAAAGAATTATACCCTGAACAAGAAGATTGTTTTGAAGTCCTTTGTCATAATCAATCCGCAATTCAGATCACCAAAAATCTAGTTCAACATGATAGAACAAAACATGTTGAAATTGATAGGCACTTCATTTCAGAGAAAGTAAACAAAGGGATAGTGTCTCTATCTTACATCCCTTCAGAAGGAGGGTTAGTAGACATGTTTACAAAAGCCTTATCAAAACATATTTGACAATTTTGTATCCAAGCTGGGATTATACAATGTATATTCTCCAGCTTGAGGGGGAATATAGGAATATACGTGTCATGAAATAGATTAAATTTGGAATGCTTTTAATAGGATTCTGTGAATATTTATTGTAGTTACAATCCCTTATTTTAAGGGATTATTTCTTTCTCTAGAATTAGTTTCTTTCCTAACTTGAAGTTTCCTAAGATAGAGTTACAGCTTGTATATAAATATGTAACAAATTCTATTGATTAAGTATGGAATAACAGTGATTTACTCTGATTTCTCACAATTTTCAACTTGAGAACAAAAATTTATCAGCCAGGCCTACTCTGACCGGAATATAAGCAAGTCAATACATAAGTTAAAATGCTAACCGCAATAAGGCCTCCACTACTAGGAAAATTCTCGGTCAGCGGAAGCTCCTCGCTAGATGGAAGGAAACCCTGCTTCTCGACCCATTGAAGTGCTACATCAACCAGATTACCACTGCTACCTCTTGTACTCTCTCTAGCAGCAAAGTCAGCTTTGTTACCAATAACAATATATGGGACAGGAAGTCCTGCTGGACCTCCAGAACTTAGGAGAGCAGAAAATGTCCCATTACTCGCGATCTCAGCTGCCCACTGCTGCAGGCTTGTTTTTGTTCTCCTTTGGGAAAGATCGTGAACAAAAATAACACCTGCACAAAATTTTAAGGCAAAATCATGAGAGAAAATCGTTGGCCACAGAGTTTGCAGAAATTATAAAAGAGTTTTATGGGAAGATGTAGCAGGAAAGAGTTTCTGTATACTGATTATTAGATGCATATCATTAAGTTGGTGATGATAGCATGCAGATAATGTTTAAGACTACTATGATAAAAACGATTAGTGCAATCATTTTATATTCCTATTGCCTCAATTGAATGAATATATGAACGGGCAGCAACCAGCCATTCATATATATGCATGTAATTGAATTAGAGGACTGATCAAATTATCAACCAAGAAATATCGATGGTCCTCAATCAGTTTCTCATGCAATCAAAAATTCTATTTCAAGCTAGTATTGAATTGTGGTGTTGGTATGCCAACAGCAAGCTATCCGATACTTAGAGAGAGAGAGAGAGACTATGGACTACTAGACTTACAAACTAATGTTTGGAAAATTTCCGTACCAACAATTATCGTGAACTAAAGACATTTGCTCAAGCAAAGAGCCTAAGAACATACCATTAATTTGTGAATAAAAAAGAGACCGGCAATCTTTGTATCGCTCGTGTCCTGACACATCCCAGAGTTCAATGAAGAAATCTCTCTCAGCATCCCCTTTCAAGCTACTTGAAGAGCTAACAGGACTATCATATGTGGTATGCTGTGTGGAGATTGTAGTGGTTACTTGGTGAATGAATTCAAACAATAACTTTATTTAAGGCAACAAACGAGTACTAAGTCTTACCTTCACACCAACTGTGCATCCAATAGTTTGAGGAGGGCAAGAAGTGGAAGTGCCTTTGACAATCAGATGAACAAGAGAAGTTTTCCCCACACCTGCCAATTGCCAAAAGAATAATAAGATTTCAGGCAAAAGATTGGCATCTAATAACACATTGAAAAGAAAAACATATTATATATATTTAAGCATGAAAAGTAAACAACTTAGAACAGCAGATCCAGGGTCTGCTTACTTCCCAAGAATGGTACAACACAGCGTCAGAAACACCCGAGCAGTCAAAAACAAATTAATATAACATCAAAAGGAAACAACATAGGAACATGAAAGCAGTGAATCTTTTGTAAAAGAATGTTCTCTTAATATAGAAAGTCATGAAACAATCATCAACAAATTATCGAAGAACGGAAAATAAGGTCCTGCAAATTTTCCCTTAAACTAACTTGAAGTGTATTGATATCCAAAATGTTGAGGGCGGGCGGGATGGGTATGGACAGAGATAGTGTGTTCAAGCACTAGTGCTCACTCTTTTACCAATAAAAGAAAGAAAATAAATTAAACTCTTCCTAGTTAGCTCTTAAAACTAACGGTATAATTCCGCAAAACATACCAAGATATTCATATCTACCTTGTTCCCAATTCTTTCAAACCTTAACACGTCATCCCATCTGTTTCTTCAATGGCTTCAAATTCGTTTCTTACTAAATCTAATCGACCAAAAGGAAAAAAATGCGATTAAGTCGGGCAATTATTTAATATCATAAACTACATTTTTTTCATTTCTAACATTAGTATTATGAATGAGCATGAATCAAGTTCTCAGATCTTGATGTGCAAATTACTTCAATTATGATAATTTTTAAGTATACAAGCTCAGTAAACATCCTATAAAGTCACTCCATATACAGAAAAACATACAGGCAGGAAATTTTGCAAACACAATGTATTAACGCCAAAAGAAAAATCAGTGATCAATAAAAACAAGCAAGTAAAATTCAATACCTGTATCACCAACAACAAGAACTCTAACCTGCCCACAAGGAGGCCCTCCATTGAGCTCTTTGATTTCCCTCTTACGTTCTCTCCGAAACATTTTTCTCGCTCTTTTATTTTCTCAGAACCAACAAAGAAAATGAAAAAAAAATATAACCCAAAATATTAAACTCAACTCTACAACATTGGCAAGACTAATAAAATCACATCAAAAGACACAAATACAAATCAGAACAGCGATTTCCCGAAATGGGTACTCAATATCCATCTCACACCAAAATCCACTCAAGGTCGACACCCGAATCCACGAACACGAAACTCGTCGTTTCTGAATCAAAATCGGATCTAACAAAAGGAGTTTCTTCAAATGGGTATATTTAAAATCGAAATAATAGAAGTGGGTTTCTCTTTAAATTTCTGTTGAGAGCTTCCAAATCTCAGTTGATTAAACTTGGGTTTAAAACTATATTTTCCATATATGTAGATAATTCGATGTTTAAGTGGGGTTTATAGGAAGATTAGAGAAAATGGGGAATTGATAAGATAAACCAAGCTAAAAGTAGGGATCCAGAACTGGTTTTCGGATGTCTTGATTTGAACTTTGATTTTTTGTGTTGATACGGGTTGATTAAACAGACTTGAAGCATGAATGTTCTATTCACGCGCTGAAATGCGCGTCAATTTTATCAGCTGTGTATTTGTTTCCCCGGGTTAAAATTGTTAATTATTATGATGACACCTCAAAAATAAATGATTCTTTAATTTAGTCCCCTTAATTAATTTGAGAAGCAATTTTACAAAGAAAATCGATTTGAAGAATAAATATTCTTATGTTTATATTTATTAATTATTATGATTATTTTTTCCCGATATATTTGAACTGTAATAATGTTATTTTAATAATTTTAAGATATTATATTTGTTATTTATACAAGTTACATGCACCTTTTAGATAATACATTTTCGGTGTTTCCATTATTTTTCTCTCTTTTCATCTATCGTTTTCACCACCGTTGTTTGTTGATCTCAATTTTTAATCACTCATCAAAAAATAAATTTTCAAAAGTGAGGAAAAACGACAAAGGATGTAGTTGAGTTCAATGGTTAAACAATGTTTCAAGGAATAACTGTGTGCGACCGACATGAAGAAACGACAACAATAGTCGAGCAAATGGGTGGCGACGATGTTGGAGAATGGGTGTTGGAGAAGATAAAGATTTAAGAAAGGGATTTTGAGATTTTATATTAGACCAAATTGATATAATGTATAAGTTTTAAGAATTAAAATTGTTATTATAGGGTGCCATAAGTTCTAATACTTTTATTAACAATATTAAATTTTGATGACATGACAATATAAGATTATATCACATGTCAATGGTGATGTCATTCCATGTGTGTTTTACTTTAATTTTTCTTTTAAAAATATTCAAAATATCAATGAAGTTAAAGTTTGAGTATCAACTCGATTGACAGTATATTATTTTTAAATATTATCGTGAGAAAATGTGTTCAGTTTATGTACAAACTTATGAAAGAGAAAAATCATTAGACATTAAGTTAGGAGTATCTAATTAAAGTACCAAATATATATATATATATATATATATATATAAACGTTTTAATTCTAATTATGAGTTTTTTTTAATAATCTATGGTAATTAAAGATAATATTTGTTTATAATTTTTTTAATCTATTGGCAACGTACGCACCCTACGGAATACATACACAACTACTCGAACTTAATAACTTCAACAAAAACAATACTCATTTTTAGTACCGAGATCACTTGATGAGTTAATTTTAATGACGAGTTTATATGTAATATTCAAATTCTAAAATAATTAACTCAACCAAGTATGTGGTATATAAATAAAAATGTTATTTAATTTAATTTTATTTTTTGTTAGAAATTATTAGTCTTATTAAAAATAGAAAACATACAAATTACAATAAAATTTATAATTACTACCGTAAATTAAACACACGATAAGAATATTTTAATGTAATCATTTATATAAGAAAACTAACCATTTAAGGTTACACAAAAAATTATATAAGGAAAATGTTAAAAAATCTTACCAAATAAACTCGAATAAAAGGTAGACACGAACAGATCTGGTCGCATAAATAAATGAACTACAAAGGGGATCAAACTATTGAAAGTCCACCGACAAAATCATAAATCAGAGTCGAACAACGTGAAAAAACTATTCACAAACATAAATCATGCATCTAAATTTAATTTGAGGATTCAAAGTAGGATATATTAACATGATAACAAATAAACGTCATATTGATCAGTTATGGCGATGTTAAATCTAATCATGAGAAAAAAAATTAAATGAAAATAACGGCCAAATGAAAAAAAATGTGTCATAAAGACAGAGAAAAATGTGCTATAAAAACAGAGAAAAACATATAACAAAAGATACAATTATTAAAAATAAAAAATAAAGATTTACTATAAATAAAAGAAAAAGAAAAGAAAAGAAAAATAATAAATATTACCGACAATAAACAATTAGGACCAGACTGATATCATTACCGATTACAAAAATAAAAAATAAACTAACAAAAGGATAAGAAAAAAACTTGTCTCCTTCTTTTCGTAAAAAACCCCTCTAAATAATTAAAAATGGTGCAATAGTTTTGGAAGTGCACAAATTAATTCATTAAACCAATAATGTATTTTTATAAAGAGAAAATAATTTGAGTGACCTAAAATGTCTTATAATATATAATTTTAACCAATTTTTTTGATTTTACGAAAATAACTAACGAATTCGCAACGCGATTTCAAATTCGTAACACGAACTCCAATTTCACAACACAATTTTCAAATTCGCAACTCAAATTTAAAATTCGCAACACATAATTAAAATTTACGTTGCGAATTTCAATTTAATAACACAGAATTGAGATTCGCATTGCGAATTTCACTTTTGCAACATAGAAATGCACACCTTTCGCAACGTATGTTTGTCTCTCTCTCTCTCTCCCCCTCACTGTTAACCTAAAAATTCGCGTTGCGAATTTCCTCCCTTGTTGCCCTCCTCAGCTCTGCCATGGTATCTCCCTCTCTTTATCTCCTAATCTCTCTCTCATTTCTTTCTATTTGTTGATGGGTGTTGTTTTGTTTGTTTGGATCTATAGGTGGTGGTGCACCGTTTATGATGAAGAGATCAGTATCACTCACTGAAGAAAGGTAATAGGTGTGATTTTCTGTGTTTTAAACCCATTAACCCACATGCTACTTTTCCATAACCCCACCAGATTAACCATTTTCATTAGTTTTACTTTATTAGCCGCTCGATACCCCTTACCTTCATTCGTCTTTTTGTTTTAAAACTTCACGATCGCTTCTCTCCACCCATCATCTGCTCATTCACCATTGATGTTTCTCTCATTCAAACCAAGCAACAAATAGTTCATTTCTGTTTCACCTTGTGGCAGGTTCTCAATTGAGACAGTCACCCACTCACACTCTTGGGTTTCTGATTCATTTTATTCATTGTCAACTAACGGGGCATACACGAATTTTGCAATGCGAAATAGAAAGAAAGAGAGAGAGAATAAGGAGATAGAGAGAGGGAGATACCATGGAAGAGCTGAGGAGGGCAAGAAAGAAGGAAATTTGCAACGCAAAATTTTAGGTTGACAGTGAGGGGGAGAGAGAGAAACATGTAACCCCCAAGACCCGGTCTGTGAGTTAGACCCAAACCTAAGTGGTCACATATCCCATTCAGAGGTTTTTTTTTTTATATATATATAACTTATAGAACGTTAAATATAATATATAACATAATATTAATAATACAAATATGTCCGAAACAATAATAAAATACATGTCACCAAACATAACCGAAAAACATACAGAAATATATGTTCGTACAAAATAAAGTAGTTGATTTCTCCTGATGCCAAATCTGCTAGCTTACGGTCTGCTGTTATCTGAAAAATGTTAAAATTTACAGAATGAGCTAAAAAGCCCAGTGTGTTCCATACAGCGTACAAAAACATATTAATAAGATATTATCAATAAAAATCGATTTATGCAACATGTTTTTTTTTTTAAATATGAACACTACCCCCATCCGTCACGAACAAATTGTGTAGGTTCCCATAACCATACACCCCGTCACGACCAGTAAGGCCCTGAGCACAAAGCCGAGGAGCCTGCAATATTTTCTTCCTCCAACAATTCTTTCCTCCCCAATGACATTAATAAACAAATATGTATTCGAGTAAAAATGGTGATTAATCCATTAAAACATGAAAATGGATCATGCTTGAAAATCATATACAGAAATACGGTAATCAGATGTCGGTAACCATTATTCAGAAATCAGATATCATGTATCATGTTATAACAATATTTTGAATAATCACCATTCTGGAATAATTCAAATAATATTTAAAACAGTAAAACAACACTGTCAGGAAACACACCTGTCACACTCTGAGAAATCGGATAGGGAATCCTACTATTGGGTTTGTCGATCACGTTCTGCTGCAGCGCTAGATCCTACGAATTGGAAAAACCCATATTGGAATCCTAATATAAATAATCTAAATATTATTTAAATAATATACTGAAACCTACGGGTAATTCTCGTATTACGCGGTTCAGACTGATCTGACGAACGGATAACACCGGACCTAATTGATCCTTGCTCAGGTGAAACACGAGTACCTTCATAAAATATTTTGTCGAATCAATTCCTTAACCAAAACTCTTAAAAATAATCAAAACATTAAGATACTAAGCCTTTTTGAGTTCACATGCTCGATTTGGGAATTTTGGGTCAGAATTTGGCAAAATAGACTTCGGAATCAAACTCAGGACGTCGAAAAACATAAAGTATGACCCTTCTAAAATTTCGAATTCTTGGTCAAAATTAAAGTCAACGGTTTTGACTGACAATTTGGAGACTTTCGGGTTTGAATTTAGCAAAACGGACCCCAAAACGGATTCGGGACGTCGAAAACTATCAGGATAGGTATTCTCGGTCGAAAACAAAGGTCGTTTAATAGCCGGTCAAAGCCGGTCAAAGTTCTGGTCAAAGTAGGTCAACAAACTTTCAAACATTTTACACAAATAGCACCATTTTCGAATTAATTCCCAAAATATTATTTTTTTTCTAAAAATTACTAAAATAGCACCCATTTCGAATTAATTCCCAGAATAGCACCAAAACCGAATTAATTCCCAGAATAGCACCAAAACCGAATTAATTCCCAGAATAGCACCGGTCAACGGTCAACGGTCAACGGGTCGGGTCAACGGTCAACGGGTCGGGTCAACGGTCGGGTCGGGTAAACTGGTCGGGTCGGGTAAACGGGTAAACGGGTCGTGACCGGTCAAACCGGTCAAAACCGGTTCAAAACCGGTTAAACCGGTCAAAACCAGTTTCCAGTGTTCACTCGCCTGCGGCGGCGCGTGTGGGCGCGTGCGACGTCCTCCGGGGCTCTAAAAATCACGGAAAAATTTCTAAAAATTATTTTGAGCGATTTCGAGATACTTACAAAGATCGGTTCAAATTTTTGAACGGCGGAGAGCTCGATTTCGACTCGGCCGAATCTTTGACTGATCCACCTCCCCACGCGCCGCCGTCAACGGAAATCGAGGATGACACCGGCGGA